CATAGGGTTTTCAAGGCTGTGACCCTTTGGAAGCAGATTTCCAGGCCTATATTCCAAGCCACCTCTGGGTGGATTCAAACTGCCAAACTTCTGGCTAGTAGTTGAGCACTTAACCACTTGCACTGCTAAAAAAAAAAAAAGTGTTGTCATCGAGTCAATTCCGACTCATAGCAACCCTACAGGACAGAGTGGAATTGTCCCATAGGGTTTCCAAGGAGAGGCTTGTGGATTCGGACTGCCAACCTTTTGGTTAGCAGCTTGGGCTCTTAATCACTGCGCCACCATGGACCTTTAAAAAACAATACAAAGGGTCATTCTTACATATGACTGTGATCTTGGGCATCACCACACTTAGGTATCTTCTTGACCTAGTCAGAGCACAGTACATCTTCGGATTGATTGGTTTGCAGTGAGTTATCTATTTCTACTCTCTTTTTTACCTGACCTTAGAACATAATTTATGACCTAATAAACTGTGCTTAGAAGTACATTCTGTGTTCATGTAAGAGTATATCTCTTAGTCTTAGTCATCTAGGGCTGCTATAACAAAAATACCACATCTGCATGGCTTTAACAAAGAGAAATTTATTCTGTCAAAGTCTAGGAGGCTAGAAGTCTGAATTCAGGGTGCCAGCTTCAGGGGGAGGCTTTCTCTCTCTGTCAGCTATGAGGGAAGGTCCTTGTCATCAATCTTCCCCTCAACTAGGAGCTTCTCAGCACAGCGACCCAGGTCCAAAGGATGCACTATTCTTCTGGTTCTTATTTCTTGGTGGTATGAGGTCCTCCTATCTCTCTGCTCCCTTCTCTCTTTTATAACTCAAAAGAGATTGACTTAAAACAAAACCTAATCTTGTAGATTGTGTCTTCCTCATTAATGTAACTGCCTCTAATCCTGCCTCATTAACATCATAGAGGTAGGATTTACAACACATAGGAAAATCGTATCGGATGACAAAACTGTGGACAACCACACAATACTAGGAATCATGGCCTACCCAAGTTGACACATATTTTTGGGGGACACAATTCAATCCATAAGAGATGGCTAATGCATAGCCCACCCACAGTGATCTTGTAGAGTGAAGTTCGAGCAGATGTCAGCCTAGAGAATTTATAGTACCCAAAGAAAGAACCCTTAGGCCTGTCTCCGCCTCTGCAAACCACACAGCCTTGCTTCCTTGTAAACAGCACAGAACCTCAATACAATCCCAGGGTAAAGGGGACTGAAATGACCCTGAAGTGTCTCAGAATAGGCTTATGCTCCCCGGAGAAATAAGGACTCTCAGTAGAAAATCAGTTAGTGGCATTTCTTGCACCAGATTATGTATACTGAGGCTAACATCAGCAATATTTATGTTGTTATTAATTTTGTTGTAGAAGACTGAATACTTCCATTCTCTAATAATAAGCAAGATTGTCCATAGAGTAATCTCTCTATGAAAGTACTCAGCACCATTTTAAATGATCATAACTTTTAGTTAACAATAATTTTGATCAAATTCTTCTGTCCTTTAGCAAAAAGCACATCTAAATGATCAATATAATCATATCTCTGCCATTAAGCCTACTTAATTTATTTGTCTTAATTTCAGAGTAAAAATATATATTAAAAATATAGTGTGTTCAAAAATAGCCATCATACTTTTTCCTGATTGCCTTGTTTGCTACCAAGCCCCTTCAGTGTAGACTTCTTGTTAAACAAGCTGACCCCCCTGCCAGTGATGGTACCTGTCAGTCACAAACCATTTGCTGTCATTAAGCATTGTGTTTAAATTTTTTGAACTTATTGTGTCTTACTTTTTGATATTTAATACCCTTCAGCACTTAATCTGCAGCTACATTTCCAATAAGGAATTCAATGAAGAGATAACATATGTGGGCTGGAAAGAATACTATTAAGAATTTAAATTGTTCTGATTAGACTTCTACCTTCATGAATGAATCAAAGAATCACTAAATAAATGAGTTTGTAAATTGATAGATTTGCCAATCTTTATAATTACATAATCAATCAGACTGAATTTCTATGCCAAGCATTATGCTTCAGTCAAGGTCAGCTGCCCATTTTACCTGTCAATGTTAT